CAATAACGGTAATTTTGACCCCGGCTCATATATTTATATGATCCAGGTATGTATCCCATATTTCCTATATGAATCCAATATTTCAACCTTTTGCCGGCATGTTGAGCCTCTGTTGGCGTGCTTGGAGTTTGAAGTGATTCAGCACATCTGCATTTGCAAGTTTATCTGGTGCTGCGAAAAACGGCTTCCTGAGTGGAGCCGTAAGACTGTGTGCATGGTATTCGCTAACAGGGACCAGGGCCACTGGTATCATCAAAAGCTTCTTTACTCTTTGGACCACTCCTTCATGTTCGCCAGCATGCCCTCCACCTGGAGACTTGAGTGGAGTTTGGCGTTCAGGGTTTAAACTTTGGGCTTTAGAATGCTGTATGATACTGCTGAAGCAGGTTGTGGTTTCTTCTTCTGATTCCTCAACACGAAGCTCTGAGGCCTAAATCCTGTTAGTGAGCCGAAGGGTTTGGGTTTCGCCAGGTTCATAGGCTTGTTTGGTTGCTTGGAGCGGGTAGTGGAGTTGTAAAAACCCAAGTGTCCTGCGCAACTGTCGAGAAGTTCTTTGTGACGAACTCCACACAGCCGGGGCCCTTTGTCTTCTTCCAGTCCTTTCAGGAAAATTCTCGGCGGGGAGTTGCCAGGTACTCTGACACTGGCCTTAAGCGGGCTATGTGGGAGAGAATAGGAAGTAGATAAGGCCTCCGGGAAGCTCGTATGAGGAAGGCTTCAGACACAATATTTTCTCGTCCTGCTGCTGGAGCTTGACCCTTCTGCATCTAGAATGCACACAGGGCTCAGTGCTTGGGGGCCAGTCCTTCCAGGAAGCTCGTAGGAGGGAAGCTACCTACACGAATTTTCTCGTCCTCCGGCTGAAGCTTGACCTTTCTGCATCTAAACTGCATTTGGGGGCCAGCCCTCCGTGAGGATGTTGGGGTTTAGGAGTTTTTGGGAAGCAGGTTGGCAATGAAGAGCTGAGACAAATTTGTTTTGGAGCGCTGGGATCCCACGAGCCAAGGCGAATGGGTTTAGGATTTCGGGTTTAGGGTTTAGGGTTCAGGGTTTAGGGTTTAGGGGTTTCGGGTTCAGGGGGATTCTTGAGGAAGTCTAACCAGGCTTCAAAAGGTAGTTTCCCAAAATAAGGGGACCCCAATATAGACCCCAAAATACTATAGTCCTTATTATGGGGACCCCTTAAAAGGACTTCCTAGCAAACTTCTGCAAGGCAGGGCCCTTGAGCTCCCGTGCTCATAAGCTCCGCTGACAAGGGTTCTGTCGTAGCTGCCTTGGGATGTACATTGCATCCCAATGCGTGATGAAGCATCCATTTTATGTGCATTCATGCATAGACAGGGCATTTCCCATGAGAGGAAATTCGACCCTAGCAGGTCAGCAGGTCAAAGTAGACAAGACGCCCGGGGCAGCCCAGCATTTACATGTCCCTCGAAAGCAGGGTCCCTTTATTGCTACCCGGAGCCCTAAATGATAGACCCTAGAAACCCTAGACCCTAAAAACCCCAGACGCCCCTAATCCCTAAACACTATAATTCCTAAACCCCTTATCCCTAGAAGATAAAACCCTAAACCCCTTGTCCCTAAACCTTAAAGAGACTACTAAACCCCGAAGCTCTGGGCTGCGCTGTCAGCTCCCAACTGTCCTCGTCAATGGCCTGAGAGACCTGCCCAGATTCGGCAACAGAGTTTAGGGCTTGGGAAACACTGCTTATAGGTTGAAGGCCTTAGGGTTTAGGGCTATGTCGAGGGCTGGAACTGCGAGCCTTACTTTTGGGCCCTCACACCCCAATTATACGCCCTATAAGACCCTAGAAGCCCCAAACAAGGGCCCAAGAGGGTTTCGAACGAGCGTGCTTCTTGGTTCAACTACAAAGTCATTCCATTTTAAACAAATGTATTTAATACAAAAATAAAAATCGATGTATTTCAATTCCAACTATATCTTGACATCAGTATCAAACCTATTGGAAGGGGGCTGGAGGGGCAAAGGGTGAAGGAAGGGGGGTGCGGGTTGGGAAGGGGGAAGGGGTGGGAGGGCAGAAAGGGGTGGGAGGGGGAGGATTACTATCTACTACGTAGTCATAGGGCCCTATACTTCCCCTAGCCCTGAATACTGCTCATGCAAGCCCACAACCACATTTCATTACATCTTATTTGGGCTTTATTTGGGGCTGGGCATGAAGGGAAAGGGTTGATTGAGGGACCCATACTTCCCAAAAACCGGTGCAGCCCATGGTCAGATCGGATTGCTGCCGCCTTCGGCAAGGATTTTGAGATCTTCCTGGTTGGTGATTCGAGTCCAGAGATTTTTCCAAAGGGAACTTAGCTGGTTTAGGATTCAGGTTGTTGGGTTTGATGCCTTCAAACACTACGTCAACCATTCGATTCCCAAAGGTCACCCATCGAAACTTACCGTAACGAACTATGAATCGCCGAGTCTAGAGGTCTAGTCTAAACGGCCCTTCTCTGAATCCAAAGATCCGTGGTTCATGTCCTCACGCATATGCTTCGCCATGCCTTACAGCCTCCAGAACCAGCTATGCATCATCTAAGTCTCGTTGGCCAAGCATACTTCTGTAACCCACCACATTCTACACACAGTCCATGAGAGCTATCATCTACACTCCTAGCATCCTCCTTAAGAATCCCTATAATATTCAACCCTATATAACTGCGTGCAGGAGTTTAGAATATAGCTCATGCAATTCTACAGAGCCCACAAGGGAGACCCAGTGATTTCCTTGTATCATCCCGACGAAGAATTTTCAAAAAAATTACGTTTAGGGTTTAAGGTGTAAGCCCCAAGACAATCGGAACTCCGCTGGAGGGACCATGCTGAGAAATCCCATAATTTGAAACGGGTTCAGGGTTTAAGGGTTAGGGCTTAAGGTTTAGGCCCTTCCTTACATGTTGAGACCCGTAGTGACATCCACCTGTCTTCTTCATTGACAGGACTCACACGGTCATCCCTGATGCTTAAGGTTTAGGCCCTTCCTTACATGTTGAAACCCGTAGCGACATCCACCTGTCTTCAGCATCGGCAGGACTCACACGGTCACCCCTGATGTATGTCGTAACCCCGAAAGGGTTAGTTAGTAAGGACACCAAGAAGACCAATAAGAAAAAGGGTAGGGCTAAAACAAAGTGTCTGGATTCTAGATTTAGAATTGCTTAAATAATCAACGATTTTCTGGTTTCAGATTTCTACTATAATCATGGTATAAGGTACCCTCAAAAAGAGCTCAGAACAGTTCGGTTTACTAATTATGTGGCTTATCGGGGCTATAGGTGTGCTTACTAAGCCCCCACCTCCGCGAAAATTTTAGAAAAGAGCTACCCCAAACCCGAAAGTCCAACCCCTCAAATCAACTCCCCAAACACCCGAAACCCCCACCCTAAACCCTAGACCCTAAGCCCTAAACCGAGTTCGCCTTGGCGGCCACCTTGGAGCCCAACTTCTTGGCACCTTCCTCGGACCTCTCGGGATTCTTGGAACGCGGTCAATTTTTTTTCCAGGATAGAATGTTTGAGGTCTATTATGCTATAACTTCAACTTCATAAGGGCTACAAAGGAATGATGCTGATGATTAGTCAGGCTTCTACACGGGCTCATAAGCCTTAGAGTTCACTGGTTCGGAACATGTTGGGCTAAACCCTAAACCCTAAACTCGTGGCTTAGGCCGCCCACCTACGATGGTGGGCGGCGCCGCGACCTCGATGACGCAGGCCGACATACCTGCACCTGCCTCAGCACAGCCACCGGAGCGGTAGCACCCTCGGAGGCCCGGTACCGGAGCCCGTTCTCCATGGGACCCGTAGGTCCCTTTACAAGGTGATTACCCTAAACCCCAATCCCAAGCGTGTCTCACAATCTTCCAAACCCTCCAGTCGCCCAGGGGCCTCCCAGGAGAGCTTCTTTCAGGGCCTTGACCTCGTCCAGAAAACCCAGCTTCTCCCAAAGCCCCCCATTCCAACGGCTTCCAGGAGCTTTCCAACGAATTCCGGAATTCAGGCCTTTCAAGCCATTTCCAAGCAAGCTTGTTGGCATCAGAAAGAGATTGTGTTGTTGACCCAACATGCAGTTAACTGAGTTTAGGTCCTACACCCTAACAGGAATAGGTTTGGGCGGTTTGGTCGCCTGGGACGGCATGGGGTGGGTTAATGTGTTAGATGGCCAGCCGCGGTCAGACCACAGCAACATGTCGCACAGCACGACACGCTCGGAGCGACTTTGTGGCATGACCATCTCTGCTTCAGCGCTATACCACGGCAAGCCCTAAACCCCAAACCCTAAACCCTATGCCTGCAGGTTGGTGGACTTAGAGTCTCTCCTAGATATCTTAATTATGGGGTATGTGAGGATCTTTTTATGATATTGGGCAAGTCCATGTTCTATGAAGGGGAACCATGGGGTTCAGGGCCCTAAGAGGGTTTGGAATTTGTGGGGTTGGGGGCCCGGGGTCTTTGCTCGGAGGCTCCTGGCGCAGGGTTCAGGGATCGGGGCTCAGGATTTAAGGTTTGGGGTCTACGCCAAGGTACCCTTTTTGAAAATGTTCAGCCTTAATCAAAAGACACAAAACTAAAAAGGGAAAAATGGTACTATTGGGGTATATACCTAGAACAGGAACTGCTGCTAAAGCCTTGCAGTTTCCAGAACTTTTGATCTGGGTCTTAGGACTTGCAACAGTACCTCATGGGTTCCCCTATTACCCCCCTCTATACTACCCCCGTAGGTTCCCCTTTAATTGAGGTCATTTAGGGATTCAGGCTTCATTGACTTTAATTAAGAGGGAACTTTGGGAGGTGGTGGTAGTGTAGGGGGGAGTAGTAGGGGAACCCATGAGCACCCCATGAAAGCCTTGGCATGACAAAGGCCCACCCTAAACCCTACCCTAGACCGAAAGCCGTGTACGCTAAACCCTATTTGAGCTACAGTCTACACTCCTAGTATCCCCCTGAATAAGCTTTAAGGAGTTTAGACTACAGCTCAATTTGGGTCTGGGGTTCAAGGCATGACTCCAGCTGTTTTCACCTACTGGCATCCGGACTAGGTTGATACTGCCTCATTCACAGGGGCTGCTGCGGCTGCTACTTTTCTACTTCGGAAATGCGTGTTACTAGTTAATACTAGTTACGAGTTCATCCGTATTCTGACTTCTACTGCCCTTGCTCAGACTTCACAGACTTCCGTACCTGTTGTCCTCCAAGAGCGCAAAGTGGCTTCATCCAACGAAACAATGGAGTAGCGGACATTGCTGGGAGAAAGGCTAACCCCAAGCCCCAAACCCCAGCCCTAAACCCTGAACCCTAAACCCTAACCCTAAACCCTGTGTATTTATCGCCTCCCGCGATGCTTTTCCTATCACATCCCTAAAAAACACGGAAGGAAATTCCGGCTCGTTTCTTGGGAAGTTGGGTTTGTGGGTTTGATGCATACGCGTACATTTCTATGTATATTCAGTATAGTAACAATATGAAAAGCACTAGTAAAGAGCAAGCGTAGCCGTAATAATCGTAATAAGTTATAAGATTCAGAAGAATGATAGGAAAAGTCACAGTAACTGTCAGGGACAGCGATAGCAATAGACATTGTAGTAATAACGGTACGAGTTAGTGATGATACGTCTAAGGCTGACACAGGTTAACTGCTTGCGTCTATACCCCAAACCCCAAACCCCTCAGACGTAAACCCCAAGCCCTAGAACCTAAACCCAAAACCCAAACCCTAAGACCAAAACCCCAAGCCCTGGAACCTAAACCCCCAAACCCAAACCCTAAACCTCAAACCCTAAAACCTAAACACTAAACCTCGAACCCTAAGCCCCAAACCCTAAACCCTAAAATTACAACCTAAGCCCTAAACCCTCTTGCCTCCAGTCATCCTCTTCCTCTACAAGTACACCCTGCTCGGGCTTCACGAACTCCTCGTATGGTTTAGCGCTCGGATTTGGATTGGGCTAGGGCTTGCGTGGGGGGGGGGACTTATCAGTGTGCTGAAGTGGGACCTCAGGATTTGGGCAGTGAAGCTTCAGGCATGGGTTGCGGGGCCAGGTGGTTGTTCATGCAAGCAACAATCCTAGACCCTGAACCCTTAACAGTATGTGATACCTTCTGGAAGCTGGCCGAAATCTTGACCACCACCGCCTCCAAAGCTTCCTGAACTCTAACTCCTCAACCTCAACCCCAACAACCTAAACGCTGAATAATCCACTACCCTGAAACCCAAACCCACTAATTACCATGATCGCTGAACCCTAAATCCTAAACCCAAAACCCCAAACCCCTCAACTCTAAAGCCCTCCCTAAAACCTAAGCCCTTAACCCTAAACCCTAAACCCTAGATCCTAAACCCCAAACCCCAAACCCCCCGGAAATGTCGCCACGGCTCTGTGGGCCCTCCGCTGTTGGCGCCGATGGTTGGGCAGCCGCAGGCCATGCACTCAATGAAGACCATCCCAAAGGGCTCCTCATTGAGAACGAGGATTAGGGTTTATAGTCCCCCGTAAGTAAATAGAATATGGGATATATGGGGATCTTCTTATGGTTATGGTCAAACCCATACTCTATCTACTAAAGGGGGACTATAGGGGTTAAGGGGGTTTATGAAGACCATCCCATTGGGTTTAGGGTTTAGGGGTTAGGGAAATCCCAAAGGGCTCCTCATTGGGTTAAGGGTTTAAGAGTTCAAGGGTTTTGGGTTTAGGGACATCCCCAAGGGCTCCTCATTGGCTTAAGGGT